TAAATTACCGTCTGTTTCTCTATTCCTTAGCAATTTTTTAACATCTCGCATATATCTTCCTGTAACAATACAAAGCTAGCATGAATTAAAATGATAAGAATGTTAAATATTAATATTACTTACATCGACTGTCAGATGTCACCTACTCGCGCAGTTATCACAAATATCCTTCGACGATGTTATACATAACTTTATGTGATCAAGAGAAATCATTATGTAATGTACATGGTGTGTTCCGAAACTAATGAGAATAAAATTCCTGCGCCGCTCCTGTTGGTCGGAGGGGGACAGGACCACGTGGGTTAGGTGCAGGGGACCCTAAGCTTTCCAGCGCACCCGATCCCAGGGCTCTCCGAGCTGTGAAAGGGACAGGACGTGAATTTTTGTGACCCCGTGTTTGGTAACCGTGTCACGGAAAAAGTGACGTCGACGATTGGAACAACGATACGCGATGAAGCTATTGTGCTAAACTAAACAAATCTCTTGAGGAGACAAATAAAATGATTCGTGAGGCTTATGGGGACTCTGTTCTGTCGTACTCACAAGTTTCGAGGTGGTTAAAGGCCTTTAAGGAAGGGCGGGAAGAGGTTCACGACGATCAACGCTCTGGGCGGCCACCAACCAGCAAAATAATCCGTCAAACAGTCCATAAAGAACTTCTTCTTGAAGAACAGGTAGTTAACACCGCCTACTACGTGGATGTGCTGGAAAGACTGCGAAAAAGGGTTGTCAGGACGAGAAAACACATCTCCGCTACCTGGATACTGCATCACGACAACGCGCTTCGAGTACGTGAGTTTCTGACCCAAAATCAGGTGTTGACGCTGCCCCAACCCCCCTATAGCCCTGACCTGGCACCGGCAGACTTTTTTTTGTTCCCTCGTATCAAGACACCCCTGAAAGGAACTCGTTTCTCGTCGATAGAAGACATCCAAGCGGCCGCGACCGACCCTCTGAATGAGATTGCGGAAAACGCATTCCAGGACGCGTACCGTTTATGGCAGGGTCGTTGGCAAAAATGTGTAGAAGCCCAAGGGCAGTACTTTGAAGAATTTTTAGTATTTTTAAGAATTGGTTCAATAAATTCCTTTAAAAAAAACATTCTCATTACTTTCGGAACACACCATGCATACCAGATTATAGACATTCGTACGAATGGAGGATTATGTGACTAAAGGTAAAGAAAATATAATAATACGTGCATGGAACAACAGTAGCATTAACAGCTCAGTCGCAGAAGCATTAGATAGTGTGGAGGCGAGATAAGAATGTTTTGTGCGGTATGGCAATCGAATCGGGCGAGGTGCGAATGATGAATATTTGGATCGGGTAACAATTCTTCGTAATAGAAATGCGTGTATGAATGGATTTGGGAGAGAAAGAGTGTTGTGAGGTTAGAAGGAACAGGGCAGTCGAGTAAGAGAATCTGAAAAAAGAAGTCGTGCGAGCGTGAATTATATTTCGTTTTTTTTTTATATTAAATATTTTTTGTTTTTAAAACGGGTCATTGAGTCATTAAAGCAGCCGCAAAGATCGCTACAATAGAATAATTGAAATTGGTGCATTACTTATTTGCTTGCAGTTTCGATGTTTTGACGACTAGTCCATTTGTTAGCACTTTTAAGCTTGTAATGTGCTTTGTATGCAGCTTCATTACATTACAACGAAATTGTATGCAGAGCATCAGAAGGATTTAAAAATTCTAACCTTCCAATTTGGATTTCTTATAGGAAAATAATTCATTTAAATCGTATTCGTTTTATTTTAAATTAATTACGAAACAAATTGTTAGTATTCATTTTTCAATTTATGCTTTTAACATCTTGTATTATGATGAAATATCGTATAAATCATTACTATATGATATGACGGAATTGGGCAGGTTGTCGAACCAATACCGTGCAATTAAACAAACATTATAAGGATATAATCACTGTAAAGTAGGATAATGAAGTTTCAAAAAGCTGAAATATAAAGTTTTCATTTCAAATATCATTTTAAGGGGCGCGTAATTTTTTAATGGAATTGATAATAACGTACCACCGAGAAGCCTCGCAATGATGCATTAAAGATATTATAAAATGTGAAAGTTAAATCTTTGTTGCTCTTTAGTATTACCATTTGTAGTAATTTCTGCGTGGCTACAGACGTTTCATACCAGCTGGTGTTGTATCTGTAAATATTAACAAATACTTATGTAATCAATTAACTATGCCAAATTAATTAAATTCCTAACGGATCAATTAAAAAATGCGGACTAATCAGAGCGCGAGAATTACGTGTGCCCAGAAGCGAGAGTAAAAGGTTCGAGCCTAGCAGCTGAGCACGATCATGATCAAGTGCCTATGCGGCTGGGCAGTTTAAACGTTTACCAAGAAGCACTTACGTCACATTTCTGTTAAATAATGAACAGCACAGTTACAAATAATATTCACTTATTCGTTTATCACGAGTAAGGAACAGAATTAGTTATGTGTAATTAACAGAAGTCGAGAAAATTCAATTTCTGCAACTTTAGATTTACATAAACCTTATAAACCATCAAAATAAGACTCACCAATTTTTTATAAATATTCCTGCTTGATTGAAAATGTATCCTCGTAACTAGATCATGCTATCGGTCGTAACTATTCGTAAACATAATAAGCAACTTCATTTCACTACATAGTGAAAGATGATATCATTTTTTATTACCACTTTTCGCTAATTTTATGATATCATAACAATGGATAAACAAACGGAGACGCGTGAACGATTATTCGAAAATAACTTCTGTGATTTTTCTCTTTAATCTTTCGCTCCGAACGTTCTGTCCTAAACTGCCGATTGTGACTCTAAATGTTTCGAACCTAGAGAAAGCGAGAGTTCTGGACAACGTTTTCGGCCGTTCGGACCGTCGCGTCGTGTCTCGTCGCGTCGAGTCAAAGAATCATAAAATAAGTAAAACGGCTCCGTTTTCGCTCGCTGGGCGGTCGCTCCGTAGGCATCCGAAAAAACCGATGTCTCTTTCCCTTTCTAAAAAGCAAAAACGCTTTTCGTCTGTTTCTAAAGAAAAGCATACTCCCACTTTCGTTCAAGTCTCAAACGTCCTTATTGCAAGGAACTGTTGTCTAAATTTTCCACCAAAGACGTTCGTCGCGTTGCGTTTGGCAGTTTAGAAAAGATTGTCGTGTATTCAACATCAAGGGGAAAATATAAAGTGAACCCATGTACTAATAATCGTTTACGCGTTTTCATTCGCGTTCTTTATGTGTGATTATTTCGTTAAGAATTAGTGGAACAGTGGTAGCAGAATATTACAGGTTGATCAGGTTGTGACATCAGATATTGTGCAGTGTGTTTTTTTTACAAAAGATTAGAATCGATGAAGTCACGAGAACAAAATTTTACTGGAACAGGATTATTTTTAAACAATAAGTGAGTCTGATTCAAATTTGCTTATCATGTATTCATGGAGAATGAATAAATGAACATTACTTTGAATTATTCTGTTCGTTATTTAACTGAATTTTGATGTAAAGATTTCTTACTAGAAGTTTTGACTGTTCCGAGGCAAAGATGTTTGATCACTTTCACGTTCAGCCGCTAGACTCGAAGCTGTCGCTCCCGCTTTTCAGCGTACGTAATCCCTGTGCTCTGATTGGCCCATGTTTTTGCTTAATAATTTAAAAATGAAGCTTCAAACCCTCTTTTTGCAAAGGAAAATTTTGTTCAGAATAACATCCTTTACCACCCCTTTCTGGGAGTAGCACTAATTACGAGACACCCTGTAATATTCTATAAATTGTAAGTCATAAAAAGGTATTTCATGTGAAAATATTTAATGATGAAGGGTGGGACGTATATGAAAATTCAATCGAGCACGGAATGTGTTAAAAGGTTCTATACCATAAATTCGTTCTAATATGCTGTTTTCTGTGAAAATATAATGTATAAATTAATTCAAATGAAATGAGAAGTAACAGAGTCAGCATTGGTAAAATTGATAATAAGAGTTGTGAAAACGATGTAATTCCAATTATTTCCTACGGAATATCTAACTAGTTACGGTGAAAAATTCTGTAGACATATAACATCAAGACATGTACATGGTTGTAGAAATGTTAGCAGCACTATCCATCACATACTGAATTGCAAGATTAATCAAAAACATATATTGTATTACACCAATAACTAATAGTAAGTAGAATATTGCTTCTCCGAAATTCGCTGAATGGATCGCCGATTGCGAGAGCTGAAATAAAAAACAAAAAGAAGTAATTCAATAATTCTTATTTCGACAATATTATATTGTTTATTTCAAGTAACGCTGGCAATATGTGTACTGGAAACATAAATAACTTACGAAAAACACATTTATGCTCAGAGAAGTAACTCCTAATATTATCATAGGGCTATACGTTATCTTAAAATGGCTACTACAGACACTGCAAAATCTTTAAAAACAATAGCATGAATTAAATAAAGTACAATCGCAAATTGGAAAAAATATGTGAGTTACACTGTACATGTTCAAAATATATAAATTATTTGGTGCAATTTGAAATGAAGATATTTTGAATATTTAATATTCAAATTCTTCAATTATATGTGTATAATTTACAAAGAAATTATAAAATTTGTTAAAAATGTTAGAGTTTGTTAACATAGGAGTAAGAGGATACCTACTGAATTGTTTCTTGGTGCATAATCATACTTTTAATTAAGTGACTCATATTCTTATTATTTGTACATTTGCGTGGAATACAAGTGTCAGTTACTTCGATGGAAACAGCTCTTTGGAAATAATAACTGAAAATGACAGTACACAACTTGAATAATACTCGAATAATACTCGAATATACAGAGTCTTCAAAAAGTCCCGGACCGGTTAAATAACTTGAAACGTAGGCGTTGCTAAAAAAAATGGTTGAGACAAAAGTTGTAGGAAATTTCCTTGGCTATTCACTCGCGACCTCATCCGTGACCTTTACCTTGACCTTCAAGATCATTTCAAAGTAAAGTCCATTTTTTAAATGGCAACCCCCAATTTTGACACCGTAAATGAAAGGGGCGGACAATTTTACGTCTAAATACAATTTTGACCATTCGAAAAACTTGATCTTCATTAGCTGGATATCACACCACGTTGCCCTAGTTGACTGGGATGAACGCATATCTCAATTTCTTTACGTTACCTTACCGTAATTGGCTGGTATGAATGCAAGTTTCCTTTTATCGAATTCTTTAAAAAAATTAGTCCTTAGTACGACCTTACAGATCAAGATATTACCATGAGACAACCAGGGCAATTTCCTATAACGTTTTGCTGAAACATTTTTTTTTAAGCGACGCCTACTTTTCAAGATCTCCAGCCGGTCACAGCTTGACCTTTATTTGATCTTCCGAGGTCAAATTTTTGAATGATCAAGATCGTATCTAGACATAAAATTGTCCGCCCTTTTCATTTCCGGTGTCAAAATTGGTGGTTGCCATTTAAAAAAATGGACTTCACCTTGAAATGATCTTGAAGATCAAGGTCGAGATCACGGACGAAGTCGCGGTTGGATAGTCAGGGAAATTTCCTACAACTTTTGTCTCAACCATTTTTTTGAGCAACGTCTATGTCTTAAGTCATTTAACTGATCCCGGACTTTTTGAAGACCGTGTTTATCTGATTTATTTATTCCATAATATTACCTAGTAACTTCAAATAAGCTAGCGGCATGTAAGCAGATCATAATCGTTAATGATTCTGTTCCAATATATATAATTGCAAGTATCGCTATCCAGAAATAGTATGTAATAGTAGTAGTAATAGCATGCTTCTCTTTGTCGAAGAAAGTTTCCGCATCTACTGGTAACTGTATTGGACGAGATTCATTGAGGGGTGCAATTTTATCCAAAATAATAGGTGAAATATGGTATGTTGTCATTATGACCACCGTCGAGAAAACACATGCTGTAAAACGTATCACATGTTCAGTTTTGTACTTTTAAAGTTACGTACTTTAATATCTTTATTTACACGTAAAAAACGTTGACAGCTGTTTTCCCAAATAATTGTGTTTCTGCATAATTTGAAGTATCACATCGTTATTCGTTTGCCAATCAAATTGAATTCGATCGATAAATCCTTTCACCTGTATTTTACACTGATGCTTATATTTGTAACTTACTATTATATTTTGTAACTTACTGTATTAGCTTGATACCAAATTGTATAATATTTTACAAATGAACCCATGGATATAGTCATAAGCGTCAGGTTCCTTAAGACACGATACAATGTCATTTCCATAGTGATAAAGGCTAGAACCTAAATAATTTCATTATTTCGCCAACCGTTGCCTCCATTAAGTTAAAAACACAATATATACAGTTGATTTGCACTAAATGTATGGTAACACAAAGGGTACATACATAGATTTATCTGCTTGATAATAAGTAAGTTGTAAATGATTCCTTTATCGGATACATAACAAACCTGACTGTATAAAAATAATCATTTGTTATTGACCTATACAGATTCTTAGATAAGACGTTATTCATTAAATGTTGGTTCTTCTAACTTCTCGATTAAGTCAGATTTCTAAGGTCACATCATATTTTTACTAATAAATTACCAATAGAAATTAAAGTTAGAGTAATAAGCTCCTTTCTCAATAATTATAATAAAAATTATACTATTAAACTACTACCACTAAATATTTCTCTTTGCAATTCTAATAAGAACACCATAAATGAAGGTATTTTTTCATGAAACTTGATGGCATTTTTGATAGTTTGAGAAATATTTAAATAATTATTAACTCATAAAAATGTATAGTAGCCCTCCGCAATAGACACCTTAGTATAAAATAATTTTAAGAAAAAAAATACACGAACTTAGAAATTATTTTATACTTTTTAGTGCATTTCGAAGTTCGTAATAGAAATATAAATAAAATAGAAATTATTTTATACTTTTTAGTGCATTTCGATTTCATTCAATCATACAATTACGTCACAGATACGAATGAAACCTATTTACTGGTTAGGTACTATATGAAATACATTTCAACCTTTTCGGAGGCGGTGCAAAATTAAAAGATTTTTTTGAACATGTCAACCTTTGGACAGCCGAACATAGGCAAAGCTTGTATAGCTATTTTTTTTTCTATACATATAACTCGACAGCACGCCGCGAAGTAGGTGTTAGTGCGTATAGAATGTAACTATGGTCTATCTAGATTCATAGA